CACAATCAGTTTAATAAATCAACATAATTGTTTAAGGATCATGTAATGTCTGTGGGGCTTTGAAGTTGTGAAGTCCAGAGGACCTCTACTCCTGTATTGTGATAATGGATACACACTACAAACCAGTGTCAGTGTGAACAAGCCCTTATACACACACCACTTACACTGCTATATAAAAGAGTGTGGTTATTAAGTAACAGCAGTACAGAAAGGTTACACTGCAATCAGATAGCTGATAGAAAGCAATTAGCCTTCACTTTTTCCTCTCAGCTATTGAGGTTCCGTTTACAACCCATGTCTCAGTGCAGCATATAATGATCAGCCTGCCCTTCCTGATTAAAAGTTGTAAATATTTATGGTCTTTCTATGGTTTGGCCATGCACATTTAAAGAACAACTGGCACATAAAACCATAAAATAAAAAAAAAAGGCTTGTATTAAACTGTTTATTATTAACTAATACTTATAAATACTTTATTTGCCAAATTAGATTGCCATGGTTTGCCATGCACTCTTGTTGTCCACTCAACTGATACCAGCCATTTTTCAATACATGATTAAAGTCTAAAAACAGCACCAGACAATCTGCTTAAGAGTAAAAAAAAAAAAACCTTTGATGGCTTTACAAATGGTGAGTAGAAGATATGTATAGCCAACGCATTTCAGGGGTCAGGAATCCCTCTTAATCAGGGTTTAAGCAATGAACAATAGAGCTGTGAAGAAAGGTCGCCAGCACTGAAACATGCAAAAAAAAGTATTGTTTATGGCAAATAACATCACATAGGTCAAAATTGTCAACGTTTTGGGGCAGCACGGGGTCACTTCCTCAAGGTGACATCACGGCCCTCGGGGACTGTCACCTTGAAGAAGGGACCCAGTGCGTGCTCAAAACTTCGGCAATTTTGACCTATGTGGTGTTTTTTTCAATAAATTATACTTTCTTACATATTGGAGTGCTGATAACCTATCTTTACCTCTCTGAGGTTCTGCACAGCCCCATGCATGTCTTGGAGTTGCAGTTCAAGCGTTTGTACAATCTTACAATATATGTCATTTTTGCTTGCCATTTTCTTCCTGATGTAGAGATGGCCCATAGATGATACATGCTAGTGTATCCGATGCATTAGCACACATGATCTAGGACAGTGGTGGCGAACCTATGGCACACGTGCCAGAGAGGGCACATTGGGGCCCTTTCTTCAGGCACTCTAGCCCAGGTTCAAATTAGCAAGGAGGAGAGGAGCGCTCCAAACCAAGCAAAAGAACGTGGGCGTTTTTTTGGGAACGGAAGGCTGGAAACAGGGGCCAGTTATAATTCCCGGATCCGAGTTGTGTATTCAATGGTTGATCCAATTTGTCCCAGATCAACCATTGAATACACAACTCGGATCCGGGAATTAAATCTGGCCCCTGTTTCCAGCCTTACGTTCCCAAAAAAACGCGCCGTTCTTTTGCTTGATTTGGAGCGCTTCTCCCCTCCTTTCTCTGATTGATTCACCCATTGGTGAATCAATGTTTTCTGAAGCCGCTCAACCAAACAAGTATACTTAGTACCAATTTCAAAACCTAACACACACAGCCCCCCTCCCCTCCACCTCCCCTTGGACTAGCGCTGTATCTCGGTACGTTGTCCTTGAAACTTTCAAATTAGCAAGTGGCCACCTCTGAAAATAAGTCCGACCTTCTCGGATCGCCTTGGTATATGATCAGGCAGCGGCGGCCTCTAGACAGCCCTTATCCTGCTGGATGAACATCCCTTCCTCCCTTTGCCACCATCCATCACCCATATGACCACTAGCAGTAACGTGCATGACATCACAGATGACGCGTGTGATAACGTACCAGTGGGTGACTTCAGGCGGCCGCACCAGGTGACTCCCGGACCGGGGGATGCCTCTGCTCCTTTCTCCTCAGTTGTTCCTCTTTTTGGTCTGAGGTATAGATGTAGTGCCATCCCTATAATGAGGCAGCCTGCAGCGGCATCTCTTTAGATCATGTGGAGAGGCAGCAGGCAGAACAGCATGGCCGCTCTGTTGCACAATGTGTGCAGGGTGTCTGTCGCCCCCTTTCCGACCAACTTGTATGAGGTTGCTAAGAGCCGGATGGTTAGATGTCTGAGGGCCATACACATCTTCCGTCCCAGCTCTTAGCAACTTGGGATGCTCTGGTAGGTGTTCTGCTCAGCACCTGGCAACAGGTGACATCATTAAGCTGGCCAGGACGCCGGATAGAGCTGGCTGGTGCACCACCAGAACCCCATAAACACCCCCTAACCGCCCCCACTCTGTGGCAACCAGCACTGCCTCCAACCACCCCCACCCACGAACATGACCACCAGCGGCTATTATGCTGAGAACACCTCTGTATAGACCTCTATAATAAATGCATTATTTAACCAGCTAAAGCGTTCTACTACACTAAACCTCTCACACAGACACGGAAAGCGGTGATGAAAACCAGTGATGAAAGTACTTGTGGATTTAAGCAATCATTTGTTGCTTATTAATTCTTCATGATGTACTTAACTGCGGGTGTGGCAGGAGTGTGTCTTTTGCCTACATACTTTGGCTTAAGGGTGTTCCTTTGTCCCATCTCAGAAAGTTATATGATGGAATTAAAACTAATTTTCCACAAAACTCTTTTCAGTTACACTGATTGTTTTGCAGATCACAATGATAATCTAGTCCCCGTTCACAAAAGTGCATGCTTTGATGCGTATTTACAAAACATACACAAACACGGAACGCGATTGCAGCGCCATTACTAGTTAATGCCACCCCAAATGCACATTTCCACAGGCATTTTCGCACATGAGAACGTGTGCAAATGCGCGGGAAAGAACGTTGAACGTGTACTACTTTCCCTCATTTGGTGCGCGTCCTGGGACCCATTGAAATCAATGTGGATGCACAACAAATGCTGTAAACAAATGCCCGTGAACGCGTAGAAATGTGCATCACCGTGACGCGCATTCCCGCTATGCTCAGTTGTGAATAGGGGCTTAGTGCTTTTGATTTTTGGATGATACGGTCATTATACTTGTATTGCCATCAGGGGCGTTCCAAGGCCAGGTGTCACCCGGAGCAGATACCGGGTGACACCCCGCCATGACACCATCGCACATGCGCGGTCATCTTTTTGATACCTGCCGGCGCCCATCTTGGTGATGGACGCTGGCAGAGAGAGGAGGGGATGTTCCCCCAGCGGGATAAGGTATGCCGCCGAGTCCCCTCCTCTCTCTCCTGCAACTGTCGGGCTCTCGGTCCATAACCGAGTGCCCTACTTTTCAGAATGGGTGACACCAAAATGACTGTCAGTCATTTTAGTGTCACCCCTCCAATGGTGTCACCCGGGTGCTGGCCGCACCCCCGCGTGACGCCACTGATTACCATCATAAAACAACTTCTAAGTAAGATACTGTGCTTAGAATGGCAGTTTAAAGAACTCCAGGAAACTGCTTGTTTTCATCTAGGGAGAAAAAAAACAAAGTTATACTCACCTGAACCTTGGAGCCAGCTTGCTCTTAGACCGGTCCCTGGAGCCTCTCTCCCCCTCCGCTGCAAGTGGTCTAAAGATCCTTAACCTCCCTGGCGGTATTCCCGAGTGTAGCTCGGGGTTAATTTTCCATACCATAAGCGGTAACCCCGAGTTACACTCGGGAATGCAGCATAGCATTTACTTACCTCGCCCCTCGAGCCGCCTAGGCCGGCATCCGTCTTGCGGGTTCCGTCCCTTGCGAGCGTATGCGTTGCAGGGGGGCGGAACTGGCGGGATATTTAAAAAAACACAAATTTTTTTTTACAAAAATAGAACGAAAAATTACACCGCCAGGGAGGTTAAGTCATCATTTTCTATACACTGCATATAGGTCATGAGGACACCAAGGGACATCTCATCGCTGGAGTAGAGGGGGAGACAGGCTGGGGGAACACTGTCACAACCAGCCAGCTCCGAGTATAACTCTGTTATTTTCCTCCCTAGAGCAAAACAAACACTTGCAGTACAGGAGTAGCCCCACTCCAAGGGTTAAAAACATTTTTGCCTGCAGTAAAGTATATATCTAAAGACAAATGGGAAGGGTTAAAAACTGCTGCCAGGTTTTTTGCCTCCTATGTTCTGTTTGAGAGATTTTCTTTTACGTCCTGTCAACACAATAGGAAATAAGAGAAAATATTTCTTAAAAGTAAGGAGCGATTCTCTCTTCAACAGCTGTTACTGGACCCGTTGGAAAACTCCCTGTATTCTGGTGACAAGTTCAATTTTTGGATTTTCCCTCACTTCCAGCCCAGTGACAACGGTCACAGGACATATTTAGAGTGGATGACACAGACAGCAATAAAACCTCACAGGGGTTCCATGTCTGGAATGTCACCCCCCCCCTTCAATTGTTATCTTCTCAGATATGCAGAGAAAATTGAAAATCTGATCCGCAATAGTCTTACTAACACATGCAGTCACTGTATTATCCTTATTTTGTATCTTGAATAATCTGGAATTTTGGCAGAGGTATTTGTACAGAAGGTGTGTCACTTGCTCGGCCCCCTGAGATCCATCCTTTGTCCTGTTAATCAAACAGATCTTCCTATGCAAGGACAGCTTTAGTTCCTGTGAAAGGATTCTGTATTTATCACAATTTCCACTGTACTTTGTAAAAGTTTATTTTCTCTTTTTATCACGCCTAATTTCTACATTTAATCTATCTGCCCCTCTTCAATAGACTTCAGATAATCCCAAAACAAGAGGGTTAACTGCAAACAGACTGTTTTATCTTCACATAGCACAATAAGGGAAACTTTCTCCGATAGTTCAGTGTTTTTCCCCCCCCTCCCTCTGCACCTGAGATTCAATGGACTCTTTTGTCTAAACTGTAAGAGGAAAAAAAATGCAGTGTTTGTTTAGTAGAGAAATGTCTCTTGTTGCTTGGCATGAGTAGAAGGAGTCGGTGAAATTCCATCAGTCTTTCTGGCACCACCCAGTCAGTGAAGAATAAAAGGAGGCTGGAGGAGAGAGAACAGTTACACTCCTGTGATCTGCATCTCTAAGTCTGCTCAGTCCAGCCACTGCTACCATGTCTTACAGCTCTCGCCAGACCAGCGTCACCAGCTCCTACCGAGGTTTGGGTAGTGGCATCGGTGGTGGAGGAGGAAGGGTCTCCTTCAAATCTCCAAGTGTCCACGGTGGCTATGGGGGGCAGGGTGTTTCCGTGTCCTCTGCCCGTTTGGTCTCCTCTGGATATGGTGGTGGTCTAGGCAGCGGTTTTGGAGGTGGCTTTAGCTCTGGTGGTGGCTTTAGCTCTGGTGGTGGCTATAGCTCTGGTGGTGGCTATGGCTCTGGTGGTGGCTATGGCAGCAGCTTCAGTGTCAGCACGTCAGGGGATGGCCTGCTGGCTGGCAATGAGAAGGAGACCATGCAGAACCTGAATGACCGTCTTTCCACCTACCTGGACAAGGTACGCGATTTGGAGACAGCCAACTCAGACCTGGAGGTGAAGATCCGGGAGTGGTACGAGAAGCAAGGACCCAGCCCAACCCGTGACTATGGCCACTACTTTAAGGTCATTGAGGACCTTAGAGATAAGGTGAGCTCATACACCTGTCATTTCTTTTTATCATGACATATGGCATATGTTAGGTGTATTAATAATCTAACTTGGCACATAAGAAGTTACCATAGCTATGTCTATATAAGCTGCCATAGCTATGTCTACACACCTGGCAGTTAGCTAACTAACACTTATCAAATCTATCTAATCCTAATGTTCTACAACATCCCTGCCAGGAGTTCAGTCCCTGCATCTACTACTCTCCTGCATTTAGTATGTTCCTCCGGTTGTATAATTGCTTTTGTATCTAACATATTTCACAAAGTTTATTATTAACAAGGACAGCTGTTCTTATTAACTTGTCTCAGGATATCGGATAATAAATGAGCAAACTGTCGTATAATAACAGTACAATAAAATGTGATAAGTCAGGTGAGGCAGTCAAGCAAGCATTAGGGAACTACGCGTCCCTGAATTCACTACCAGCTGCTGGCTGGCAGTGCATACTGGCACCTGTAATTCTTTGACTGTTTCAAAGCTGATGGCTTGACCCCAGGTGTCTGTAGAAATAGCTTTAATAGGTTAGCATACTACACAGTGTTCATTAAATTATAAATGGTTATAAACAGTTAAAAAAAAAGAAGGCTAAGAATAAAACAAAATGATTGTGCAATTGTACTAACAATGCCAATGTTTCTTTCCATGTTTTCATAAGAGAGGCTTACTTTTTAGCTTATAACTGCTTAGTACCACAGAGGTTAAAGAAGGGACAAGCAAACTAGAAAAACAGGTTTAATCTTACAAAGTAGCACCAGTTTAAGTTTTTCTAACATTATCTTCCTGAACTGTATATAACCAACGGGGACAGCTCCCAACTTCCAAGACGAGACAAAGGGATATTTTTTTTAATAATAGTATCCAGGCAAAGGACACGCCTGTACCACGCCTCCAGATCCATGGACCATGAAGATTTTTCATGCTAAATGTTTGGTTAAACCCAGCAATGCTTTTAAGCACTACTTTTAATTTACACTTGGGTAGGAAAACAATGAATGCAATTATTTAAGAGTGGATCAAAATGTTTAGTGCAATATATGATAACATATTTTCATATATTATCTTTAAGAGGGACAAAAGAGGAGGAAAGTTGGCCCAAAAGAGCTTCCTAAAGTGTCCAAAAGAGGCCCATAATGCAGTATCGTCCTGTTTATATTGGGTTGAGATAGCTGATGGTATGGTTCCTTTGCTGGGAGTCTTGAAAATGTATTAGTATGTTCCCAAAAAGTATTATTGCCACAGATTAGACTCTGTTTGGGATTATTCACTGCAAAAAGTTGACACTTGATGGGTTTTGACAGTGTCTGCAAGCATTTAGAACTCTTTAAAGTGGTACACAGGGGCTTTTTTGCATACACAGTCTGGTGTTATGTTTTTTAGATTTTTTTACCCATGCAATAAGCCTCACTGGGTGCCTGACTACAACTGCCCATATTTATAGGCACTGAGACTTGCATATCTGATGACTGTGTATGGGTTTCAAATGACTTTAACATGACGTTCACAGGCAGTGTATAAGTTAAACATTGAACAAAACCTGTCCAGTTATGCATTTATTGTGTTATTACTTCTACTGTTGTCCATGTGAGCTCACTTCTTTGTTCAGCTTGTTTTCTAAATATGTGCTCGGCTTAATTGATGTAACTAACTTGATTGCCTGTTAAATGGGCATGTATGGGGTGAATGATAGAAACACATCCAAAGCCATCTAATCCTGCTAAATTGTTTTACCCTATATGCATGGTCTCCCTCAGAATTACCCACCTTCTGATTTAGTTGAACGGGGGATAAGCTTCTGTATGGACACCCAATAGTAAATTAAAGTGGCAGCCCACCTAAGTAATAAATTATAAGTAATATTTCAGGCCTCTGGTGGACTCTGGTGAGTCTTCTTTGGTCTCTTAGAAGATTTGGAGACTCAGCATTTCAGCATTTAAATAACTCCTGACAGTTTTATTCTACCATGGAATCCCACTCCCTGTAAAGGAGGAGTGGTCACCCCTTCCCACCTCTCCCATTTTCCATTATTAAATTAAACAGTCCAAAGGGATAATTGGAACTTATTTGTATCTGCAGCAATGGGTGACCAGAGCTAGACACTCAAGCACAGAGGTCTTGCCAGTAGAGTCACTGAGACGTGACCGTCTAATTCTTATTATTTGTAATGGTGGAACCCCGCATTGTAGATGTCTTTAACAATCTCTAATGACATGCGCATACTCCTTATATAAACACAAACTTCATATTTTCGTGTTGCTATGCTCCTTGACTGTTGGGTGTGTCATAGCCTGAAACAACCACAATTACTTAGTGGTTATTGTGTCGTTTATTATATCATGTCATATTCCAAGGTCTTTTCTTCTGCTAAATTGCACTGAGAACAGGTGAGGTGGGTTATTTTATAACCAGGAAAAAAATTGTTAAAATAAATATTCTAACGGGATTCTCTAAATGTGACCGTTAATGCATTTCAGATCCTTGGTGCTACCATTGACAACTCCAGGATTGTCCTGCAGGTGGATAATGCCAGGCTGGCAGCTGATGACTTCAGAACTAAGTAAGTAGTCCTTTCACACCATCACTCTGCTGTTAAAGATGACATTTTTCTGTGAAAGCGCACACATTTACATGATAAAATTAGCTATTTGATGTATTGTAAACCATTCTTCGAAGCTTACGGTTTTATGATGGCTGCCATTTCAGGCTGAAGAAGGCTTATTGCTTATGTCAAAAAAATTCAACACAGTACCAACTGCAAAAGAAGAAGCTTTATACTCACCTGTTCCACCACTCATTCCTCCAAGCTTTTCTCTCTTGCAGAGCAAAGACCTCTTCACATTTGACACACTTCTGGGTGTGTCGGGATGGATGTGGTTCCTTACATCTTCCCCTACATCATTATTATAGTTCATAGTAGTGATGTAGGGTTCAGCAGAAGAAACCACATTACATGACAGGGCACAGGAACATGATACTCCCAGAAATGTTGAATCTGAAGTTTCTTCAGGCGGCCAAAGCTTGTTATCTACAGGTGGCCCACTTACCGTAGATGTACAATTTTGCTATTACACTGAATTAAGATAGAAATATAACCATTACAGCATAACATTTCTAATGTAGGCAACACTTAAATGCTTTAAAAATCATCTTTTCAATATGGCATGCAGTGCAAATACATTCTTTGCTATGGAATTCCTAGATGTCACATAGAGAGACATAAGGCACCAAGTTCTAAGTCCATTACTTGTGAAGCAGAGGGTTAAACACAATTTCAGCCTGCAATATATCTGCCTTCAGTAATGGTTTAGTGTCTGGTAAAAAAGTAATATAGATGTAATAAATAGTTATTATCCCACATGAAAGGGTGGGGCCTGTGTCATGTAGGTTTAATGCAACACTTTTCCGATTATACCCTTACGCAAATATTAAACCTTGCCTCAGGACATGCCTCAACTTTCTGAGATGGGAGAGAGGGGCACCTTTTAGCACAAAATATGTAGATAAAGGACACACCCTTTTCCACACACTCACTCGAACAAAGAATTATTATGCAGAAAATGTTGCCAAATGCTACCAAATCCTTGTTGGCTTATTATTTTTCCTTGGCTTATTATGCAATAAATTAGATGAAATGAAAGATTTTGATAATTAAATAGCGGCCCATATATCAGACCAAAAAGAGGAATAATTGAAGAGGAAATAGGAGCCAAAGGATTTGGTTTCAAAAAAGGATCAAGCCCCCTAAAATAAGGGATGTTAGAAGCTATGCCAATAGAACCGATTAAACTAAGATCCTTACCATGGAATAATAGTGGGCCTCTTTTCTAAAAAGTCTCATCTTCCTCTTTTTGCAAAGGGCAAGTGCCCTGCTCTGTGCAAAAAATAAATTGTAAAACAGTCCCTTTTTAAGAAAAAAACAAATCAGTACCAATTGTCCTACTTTAGTAAAGCAGGGAGAGCCTGCAAAGCTCAACAGCCACCCATTGGATTCTGTCTCCTGTTGTCTTTTTCAAAATAGGTCTAAATCTGACTGTTTGCTTTGGTGCAATAGAGAGTCCTTATTTTAGACAGTGTGGCAAATAACACTAATCATTGTGCTCTAACATGTGAAACAGAAAGAAGAGCCAGGCAGTGAGAACCATTTGTATAGGGTGTGGCACCATTCAGTTTAGTTGTCAGTCAATAATGCAGTGCCACCTGAAAGGCTTAGCCCACACTGAAAGGATTAACTGCAGAGACATGACAAGTCCATTTTCGAAGATTTAACAATCATTATTTGCCATAATTAATTTTATCTGCAGCACATTGTTGAAAATAGTAAACACTACATTCAATAACCTGTGCGCTGCAGCTTAGTATATTGGGCCTTATATGTTTTGCAGTGTATTTTTTATGTGTTGATTGCCAATGTCTGAATAAACATGAAGGCATCTTTTTTATCTAAAATGATACAGAGAATAATATTTTACTTAGGGTACATATTCACTTTGCATTCAAAATTCCCCAAACCCCCATTCCCTACAAACAGCCAACCATCAGCACCAACCCTCCAGCAGGTCTGTACTTACCTCCTCTAACAGCTGTAGTCTCATAAGATGTTTGCAGCCTGGTAATCTAATGTAGGGCCACTTGTCCTTTAGATTTGCATGGGATGTACCTGTATAGCAAGAGCAAAATCCCATTCAAGCCCATAGGCAGCTTGGCACTCAATTTTGACCCCCCCAAGCTGCAGACATTGCAGGAGACCACAGCCTTGGGAGGAGGTACGTACAGCTATACCGTAGCTGCAGGGGGAAGGTGTTGAGCTCTGTGTATTCAGGGTGCTAGGGATGGAGGCTGGGGGAATTTTGGATTTAAACTGAAACTGCTGTTTTATTATAGGTGTGTATTTATTTATACATACTGCCCATTTACATCAGTTCCTGTCCTCAAGGAGCTTAGAATCTACGGTCCTTATTTCACATGCACAACGCCAATTTAAACAGGAGCTAGTTAACCTTCCAACATGTCTTTGTATATGCGCAAGCACAGGGAGAACATACACACGTCACAATAAACCAGGTTCTTAAGGAATATACACGTCACAATAAACCAGGTCCTTAAGGAACGTTCACTGTTGGCAACGTCCATCAACGAATGATGGCACACTTTGCACGGTATGCTTTAAGGCCATAGATGTCGGTCTCTGCCATGGAAGGGGTAGTTGGTTGTTTTTGCCTGTGTGGCTGGAATATCAGAAGTGGAAACAGAAATTTTAAAGGCTTCAGATATCAGCTTTGAGTGTACTGACGCATTGAAAAATCTCCTTTAATCACTATATCACTGGACAATATAGAAATTACACAACCACAATCAAGTTAATAAGTAATCAGCCACATAGCAATGAGACAATGATGAAACTTGTCCTTTGATTTAGGTGACCTTAACACACCCACATTTCTAATTAAAAGTCTTGTGGACTAATGTGCCTAAAGCTTCTCTACAAATTAAACTGTATTGTTCCTGCATACAGTATATTCCACTGTCAACATATCCAGTTTAAGTCCAGTTCATATCTGATCTCTTAAGGAGTGCATGAACACTTAAACACAGCAGTTACTGTTTTTGTAGAATACAGTATATCCTGGCTGGCCAGCTAACTAGCAGCCATTGTGTGCGCCAGAGATTTGGCTGGTGTCCTGGTGAGCTGATAAGTTCCCTCCGGCCACACCTTAATACAAGCAAATGAATCAGCAAATAATATTTCCTGTGTCAAAATGGGACTGCATTTATAATGTGTTGAAGGTCACTGTTATTATTGTAAAGGATCATTTTTCAACAACATGTTAACCGTTAAGAGACTATAAAATGTACATACAGGTTATAAAAACCTTAATCAATCAAAAGGGAAATACTTTTTTAGTTTTTAAAGTTTTGGTAAACACTACTGTAAATTAGTCATCCCTAGACTGAGATTGGTATTAGTCTGTTCATTAGTCTGCCCATACTGAATAAGCCTGACGTCACAGTTGACAATAGGCTATATTGTCCATGCCAGCTGTTGGCAAACTGTTAGCTGATAGTAGGGGGAACATATTTCAAAGGGTAACAAAGTCTCATTTTGTGAAATGTTCCTACAAATTAGTAGCTGTAAAACAATATAAAGCCGGTGAAACCAAACATCTGAACCACACTCCTTTGGCAGTAACCTTTTAGACGCTGAATATTTGCCAACTGTTTAATAAATACCCATAACTAGCTCCTAATATAATCTAACCATTAACCCTTAATTCTAGAACACGTGAATAAAAACAGTTGTCACTGATCTTAATAGAGCTCATTAAGTTCATGAAAGGGGATCTGTAAGTGAAATGTTTGTCAAGACGTCCCATGAATCTCATCAAACTTTTTCTTTAAGTTCATGAAAGGGGATCTGTAAGTGAAATGTTTGTCAGGACGTCCCATGAATCTCATCAAACTTTTTCTTTAAGGTTTGAGAATGAGCTTGCTCTTCGCCAGAGCGTGGAAGCCGATATCAATGGGCTGCGTAGAGTGCTGGATGAGCTAACCCTGGCCAGAGCTGACCTGGAGCTCCAGATTGAAACCCTGAAGGAGGAACTGGCCTATCTGAAGAAGAACCATGAAGAGGTAAAACTGACCCTGTGTGTTCTGTATTGTCTTTTTATAACTCACACCTCACACTATATCAACAAGCAATGAAAAACAGAATTAAGAAATCATCCATGTAGTAGTACTTGCGGTTCAACAATTATCCATTCATGTCAAGATCATTCAAATATTCATCAAACACAAACCAATCCCTATTTTCTGCAGATAACAGAAGAAGGATCTACATTTTATTTCTCGATAATCAATTTATTAAAGTAGTAACTATCCTACAAGCACTGCTGTAGACATGGATCAAAAATCATTTTATATGTTACAGTTGTGTGCACTACAAGCATATTTCGTCACCAAAAGGTGTTTAAACTAGGATCACGCAGGAAATGAACTCATTACGTGGACAAGTTGGTGGACAAGTTAGTGTTGAAGTAGACTCGGCCCCAGGTACAGATATGACAAAGATTTTGAGTGACATGAGAGAACAGTATGAACATTTGGCTGACAAGAACCGCAAAGATGCTGAAGCCTGGTTCTTAAGCAAGGTAAGGAGATGCACTTGTTTTTGGTGGTTTCTGAAAAAGAAGAGGCAAGTTTATAAATTCTAGCAGTCTAATGCTTGTTTTGCAAATGTCTTCTTTGCTACTCTAGACAGAGGAAATAAACACGGAAGTTGCCGTACACACAGAGCAGATACAGACCAGCAAGACAGAAATCACAGACCTTAGACGCACACTCCAAGGCTTGGAGATAGAGCTCCAGTCTCAACTCAGTATGGTAAGTGAATATTGTTTTTTCTACTGGGCTATTGGCATTAGATGGAAGTGGTGTCTTAGCAGATTATCTCTCCACCTAAAAGTTAAGTTCCTACATGCAGCTGAATTTTTGTACCCCATAAGTATGCTTTTCTGACCAGCAGTCAAGTTGTACTGGTGGTCAAAAAAAAAAGCATACTAAAGGTTAGCTGATTTCTCAGCTACCCTATTGTTATGAAACATGTCTTCAGGTTTTTAGGTGCCTACAGAGAATACTGAAATCACAGGTGGCATTTAAAATCCAACCCCAGACAAAACTTAGAGGCTCAAACCCTTACCTGACCTATCCAATAAGATTTTTATTGTCATTTGTGTCCTTTTTGGGAAAGATATTCCTTCATTTCCCATTAGATTATGGAACTTTTTGCAATGTTTTTATTGCCGTCTGTGCCTTCCTGTCCCAGTGTCATCTGCACTCCCCATTTCTTGCATCACAGGAACAGGAAGTGAGGCAAAATCTCGCCAATCGAGTCAGCAGAAATAAAAATCTGGCAAAAAATGTAACCCTTGCCTGCCCCATCCAAAATTTAAGAAAACAAAAATGTCTCAAGTTAAAGTGGACCTAACACACCTTATAAATCAAGGCCCCCTGCCCAAGAAAATTAGAAGCATGTAAAAAAAAGCCTGCAGTTCTTCCAGCGAGATTGAGGGGAATGCAGAGTATCCTGCAGATGCTCCAGTACAGTGAAGGAGCATATTCTTGCAAGATTTCTCCAGCATTCTCCAAGATCTTGCTGGAATAATAAGGATAAGTTGGAGGTAAATCTAAGTATATTTAATAACTTTTTTCCCCTAAGGTGGTTATTATGGGGGTATGAACCATGATTATATTAAAGAGACCTTGCTTTTTAAGTGAAAATGTCACTTTAAGAGAGAGGCATAACATACTTTAAACAGTTGCAAACAAGTTGCTATGTCAAAGGTCAAGTTGATTGAAATCCTGGTCAATCCATGAATTAGATGTTGATCAAAAAGCCTAATTTACACCACCGAGTGCTTCATGACAGTGGGCTTCTGAGTCCTCTTGAATGCAGGGACTTTTTGGGTATCCCACTGGTTCCAGTGGTATACCGGAGACTTCTTTATGGCAGCAAATTCCTTGCATGCCTTCATGACTTAATGGCTGCACTAAGGACCCCATTGCTCAGATGGCCTCAAGATGGTTTTTGAACTAAGGCAGACACCCAATTATTAGGTTGATGAAAGGACTAATAGTTTGTACTTTACAAGGCCAAATGTTTTTTTTTTAATTCTAATTCTCTGGTTTACAAAGAATTGTGTTCTGTCTGTCCACAGAAAGCATCCCTTGAAGGAACCCTCTCAGAAACAGAACAACGGTATGGTGCACAATTGGCACAAATACAGGCGCGCATTAGCAATTTAGAGGCACAACTCACCGACCTGCGGTCAGACATGGAACGTCAGAGCTATGAGTACAAACAGCTCCTAGACATTAAAACGCGTCTTGAACAGGAAATTACAATATATCGTCAGCTCCTGGAAGGACATGATACACCGTGAGTACTGAGTGACATTAGTCTTATGCTATGTTGGCTACCTAAATTAGCTACAATGACTCTTACCCATACACGGTATGTGAAGCCATTTTTTGCTGGTTATCAGGTATGTCACTAATTCTTAGCAATATGGCTACATCCACTAACACTATGACTAGTGTATACAATGCGAAATAATTATGCAGTAAAAGCATCTGTTAGGTTTATGCCCCAATTCATATTTTATGATAATACCATGAAACCTAACTGTGAGCTACCAGAGGGGCCCCTATTGTTGTTGCCCTTGCATGGAGGCAATCTTTATATTGTAAATTATTAAGTGCTTTTAATGTAAAGTTGCACATTTCATATAGTTGGAATTTTCTAAGCAAAATCCATAACAACCAATCAGGATATTTTAGTAAATATTATGATTTGAAATTTGATTGATTTCTGCTGCTTAGGCATTACTGCTCTCTGCACTACAGCCTCGGATAAGCCTTGCAGGGGCGGACTGGGCCGGGGGGCAGGGTGGCAATTGCCCCCCGGGCCTCTCCGATGCCGTAGCGTACGGCCCCCGTGATTGCCATATAGTATTTCTGATATCGTCATAATCTGTGTCGCTGTCTTGTCTACTGACAATTTCAGAGACTAAAAAAGTAAATAGTAAAAAAACCCAGAGACATTAATGAGTAAAAATGAGTGCTGGCTATTGAAGAAGTTTAAAGTTAGCCTGTGCTTTGCCTGTGAATAGCAAACCGACAGGTTTATTTTGTTGCCAACCCCTTTCAATACCTGGTATCTCGTCCCATGTGACACAATTAGTGCTTTTTATTTGGCCTTTGAGGCACCCAATGCTATCATATGTGGACACAGAGTTTTGCACCCTCTGTAAGCCCCAACTAAGATGGACTTAGAGCTTATAGATTACTTAATTTTAAGAGTCTTCAACAAGGCAGCTCAAGGGGCAATGATATGCCTACCACACACATGCATAGTAACCAAGTCAGATTGATTAAAAGACTGGTGGTGATTGGTGCTATGATGAAACTGTACTTTGTAATTCATCATTTCCCTTTACATTGTTGTTGCCAAGAACCCAGCTGAGTTTAATTCCTCTAGTTTGGTCTGTTCTTATAATACTGTTTTTTTCCTTACAGGTTGACAGTGAGCAAAACTAAAGACAGTAAGTAAACATCATATGTTTCTATCATTGCACACTTTTTATTATTTATTATATTCATCATATATTTTAGAGCAATATATATATATCTATATATTTAGCAGGCTTCTCATGGGCCTGTTGGGTGGACCTGTGGTCTCTTGTCAAATAAATCTCTGCTATATAATGTTGTTCCCATTTTAAATTAGATTAGAATTATGCAAATTATATGTTTAATCTCTTGAGTTGAAATACAATTGTTTGCATGTCCCTTTGGTGCACATTTAAAAACAAACAGCAAATGCTTTGAATGTTTCGATGATAGCTAGGCATTAGCCTCACCATGTATGGGAAGATTTAAAATTTAAATATGAATTACTTTTGCAATTTTTGACTTATGCATAACTATTTTCTCCTTTCTAGTTAAAATTGAAAGAAAATGAGAACACGCTGCTAGGAGTTAGACAGCTGTCACATGAGAAGGCCCTCCTTTATTTCCGCACTGAAAATGGCCTAAGCCGGAGATCCTAGACAAAATTATGTTGATTTGTGCCTGCAAAACGTGACACATAGTCAACATCCAAGAGCTTGCTTTTATAGTCTGTCTTGCTTCTGCTGTCTAATAAATATAATCTTCTGGGTCAAGCATTACATGAGCTCTTAAGTGTTTTTTTATTGACATGTAAGTTTATGATGTTTGCACAAGTTGGGAGAATTGCATCATGTGCAAATTGCTAAAAACCGGTTGGCATTTTTCATACTCTTGTGGTATTATATTAGGTGTTAGATTCACAAACACAACTCACAAATCGAAACACACGGAGAACAGATTGAACGTGAAAGGTAAGTACCATCATGTTGTAGAGTTACACTACATGACAGTTTTCTTATATCCCTCAGGGACTGCGAGAAATCTGCATTCCTCAGAGTTGGTCCTTGAGTTCCTCAGTTTGCATAATTGATGTAGCTGTATTGAGATTCATTCTTCCTGCTGAATATTTTCTATTCTATGGAGAATGCAATAAGAGGAACTGAAACACACAACAGTGGGTGGGAACACCCGAAACTCCCAGGTGGACCTCTAGGTGTAGCATTGGAAGGTACTCTTGATCCTCAGAGAGCATAAAATAATTCTGCTCTAGATTTGAAATCTCTAAAGAAAAGCCACTATAAGTTGCTCCCATACATTTATTCGTATATGCACAGTCCAAGGTGGATATCATACGACACTCTCACATAATGCTAAACAGTTGTAAAGTCAGAAAAATTGTAGTTTGGAGGGCCATTTTATATGCCTGAATACATTATATCTGGGAACCGATCCTGCAGTACTCCACATGTACAGATGGCCATACACATTGATGATACAATCTGTGCAATTTTCCAACAACTATGTAGTGTGAGGGCCTACATAATTGATCCATTCGATTTACATTGGGGAAAACTTTGCACTACATAGATGTTGGTGACTCTAAAGCTTATACAATCAGTATGTCACATGACCGCTGGGCCAAAGGAAGGATGAGGCAAGTGAGGCACAGCAGCGAGGGGGCATAGCCAGGGCTGGACCTGGAGCCCAGCGGGGGTAAGAGGTGAGCAGGTGCTTTAGGATGTGGATGCAGTGCCGATCGCCTCACGTTACCATCTCACTCATGTGCAGCTCTGCCACTTATTGACCGGTTCCCAGGTGATGGGGGAGAAGAGTTGAGAGCGGCTGCAGTGCTGATCGCTTCAGTTTACCATAGAGGCGACCAGCGGACACACACGCAGCACCGCAGCGTATTGGCTTGTTCCCACGAGGGAAGAAATTGAAATTGCAGTGCAGATTGCCTCACTTATTGGCTGATGCATGGAATTCCCAGCCGGCAATTGGCTGTCAGCTAATACTGCTTAAAGCCAGCTGAGAACTCTGTGCACCAGCCAATGAAGCATCACACCTTTGACCCTCACATGACCCCTTCCTCTATACCAGTGTTTTTCAACCTTTTTTGTGCAAAGGCACACTACCTGCATGAATGAATTTCGTGATGTTTGGCAAAGATATACAAGTACAAATGCACTGATCTGGATCACAAGAGGAATGTCAATGCTAACGCATTGGGAGTATTTTCTGCCATAACCTGCCCTATCCCTATCACCCCTTAAAAAAATGATCTTTGCTCTGTCCCCATCACCCCCTTAAAATTTTCAATTTCTCCCCTTCTCTGTTCTTGTAACCTAATGTCTCTATGCTCTGTCCCATCACCCCTTTAAAATAATTTTTTTTATCCCCTGCTCTGTCCTTATCACCCTGTATCCTCATACCCTGTTCCCATCACCCCCTTAACATCCCTTTTACTCCCCTGCTCTGTCCCTATTACCCCATAAACAGTTGTAATAATAATTTGCTTGTTATTTACTTTCCTCAAAATAACCTCGGGAGGGGGCACAATTTTCTGTTCTTGCCTCGGGCGCAAAAGGAGCTAGCTACGGCTCTGCATGACCACCCTGAAGACTTGAAAAATTAGGCATATAAAAAATATATCACAAAGAGTGTTAAGGGCCTCCAGGAGGGAGAAGGGGGGCAATTTGGCGGAGTTGGTTTTTAAATCGGGCCTATTGTTTACAATAGTATCTAGCTGTTCAGAATTAAAGTCTATGAAGACCACTTGACCTCCTCCACACTGCTCTCGGGAGATTACAATTACCTTGTTAGTGTGGAGGAGAGACCCAAGAGGAGCATTCAAAGCTCACAGGTAATGTTGACCGTTCTAAGTAAGGAAGCTGAAGATCTCTGAGCTTTCCTGTCTGCCCCCCAGCACATTGTGGGTAGCGGGCATAAATATGCTGATCATGCAAGGGAGTACTTTGCATTGTGGTCGGTGTTAGTACTGGCCCCAAAGGGGATATTATATAGGGCAATGGTGGCGAACCTATGGCACGCGTGCCAGGGAGGGCACGCGGGGCCCTCTCTGCTGGCACGCGAGCCCAGGTTCAGGGACCACCAATGGAAATAGATCAGACCGTCTCCCAGATCACCTCAGTACGCGATCCGGGCCAGTCACAATCAGGTAGCGGCGGCCACTAAACAGGCAGATTAGACGACCACTTGCTCCTCGCTAGGACCCCGGGAGGCCCCCGCGAACGGCCATCTAATCTGCCTGTTTAGAGGTCACCGCTAATTGTATTATTTTTGAAAAATGTTTTTGTATTTATTCATTTTTATTAGTAGTTCTGTGTGTGTGTTTTAATAAGTGCGTGACGTGTGTGTTTCATTACGTGTGTATGTGTTTTATTAAGTGTATAAATGTTTGAATATGCGTGTTTCCCTATTTTGCCTAAGGCCCCATTCACACTGTGCGTACAATCCCGCTATTTCGCGCATTTTTTCAATGTTATTCAATGGAGCTGTTCTAATGTACAGCTCCATGTCGCCCGTCGCTTCAGCAGGACCCTTTTTCCCGCGGATGTTGCGCAATGTTTCTATTTTTGAATGCAGCCCGACGGTGAAGGTCGCTGGAACGTCGCCCCAGACAGTCGCGCTATCCCGGCCCCGCTTGTAAGGTATGTCGCTTGGCGTGAATGGGGCCTAAGGCAGTGATGTTGAACGTTTCTTATACCCGAGCGCCCGAACTGCAATACAGTACTAAACTTATTTTCAGCGCTGGCACTTTGAAGTAAATAAATTAATTTTGCGGCGCAGTTTGGGCACTCGGGTTCAAAAAGATTCGCCATCACTGATATAGGGCATTGTTAGCTACAGATACTGAAAATGGTCAACAAAATCACACTGACCACTGATGTAGGATGGCATGAAAGACCAACCACCGCTGGCCTCCAATTTACAGGAATTAGGAGGTGTAAAAAGCCATCAGTGACCACCAATGTAAAGG